ATAAGAGACAGATCTGGAACTGGTCAGTGGAATAATAATAACAATAACAATAATAATTCCATGGTCTTTAGCAGCTTTTGTCTCTAATAGAATAATAAAGATAAAAGACATTTGTTGATTTGAGACCACAGAAAAGTGGTCTTTAATTGGAGAGGTTTTTAATTGGAGGGAGACCTGTTATTTTGATGATGATAATGATGATGATGATATCGTTTAACGTACTTTTGGCCATGCAGGCTGTGCGGACAAAACTTGCCAGTACCACGGGCGTCTTCAACTTGACGAGTGCTAAGTCGTTACCATATGTGTTCTTTACATAACCAGGAGCCAAAATTACCTTCTCAACTTCTTTCTCTTGTACCTCAATTTCAAAATCAGATGACCGGTTGTGCTGACCAAATGTGACCATAATCTAGACAAATTTACAAACAGGTTATGTGAATGACGGTTTGATACTAGGGTAATCTAATCATCACAGTATAGTTACTGTATGTTATGCCATATAACTATCGAAAGGCAACGATTCAGTTAATAATATATTTATTATATTGTTCTTTAACTTTCAATAAAGATATACAATATATGAGGATATAATGAGAAGGATATAAAAATTATGACCATGATGATATTAAACGACTTATATCCAAGTGGGGGTTTATTTTTCAGTGAAATCATGTAAGGCTATTAAATGTCGTACTCATTCATTTCTCCTTCAGAATGATGATGATAATAATGGGGCGGATCCAGAGACGTCCGAAAGGCGGGGATAACACCATCCTACGGGGTCCAGGGGCATGCCCCAGCGTAATTTTTGCTTTCTAGACGTCCAAAAATAAACTTTGAGGCATTTTGGGCGATCAATTCTTCTTTTTCTCTCTTTATTTTTTTTTTCTTCTTTATTTTTACTTTCCAAAGAAAGGGGATGGTTTGGGCTCACCCTAGCCCCCACCCCCTCAATCTGCCTCTGGAGAATGATAACAACAATAGGCCTAATAATTAATGATGATATGATGCATCGGAATGACTTCGAAACTGTTTGTACCATACATGTTAACAGGTGAGCTCCATTTGATTGTTACAATAAAGAAATTGTTTCGTTTAAACTGATGACCTATACTGTATTCATTTTTTTTTTTCAGATTCGGGCTCTGGTACGATGTGTCGGATGGGTAATAGTCTTAATCAATCGTGTGCCTGTTTTTAGATATAATAGACTAAATAATTAGGAGTCAATGTTCAACCTTTCATTCCTTTACCTCTGTATCTTTGAGTGGGTTGTCGGTGTTTTTAGAGACGCAGGAGGCCGCTGTCAACACCCATTGGCTACAGATTAATGTTCCTCCACATGTATATTTGAAAATGTCGGTATTTTTGAACTTCCTACTAATTGAAGCTACCCAGGGCCAGGTATTAGGTATCTCAACGTCGTAGCTGTCTGATGTTAACTCATTTTTCTTAGCCTCTTCAACGTCAATATCAACTGCCACACCACATCTGTTGAAATCTAAAAGGGCAAAAGTAAAACAGAGTTTACGTCGCAGGAGGCGAGTACAAGACGCAACAAAGAAAGCAAACACCGGATTGGATGGAAATTGTCATTTTATTCAATGACGATAAAACAATTTAATATATATTAATAAATTTACAGTAAAAAATAAAGGGTTTTTAACCTAGATTATACGGAGTCCCTAAAGAGACATGTTTAGAAAAAAAAATATTATTTTGAGGGAACGAAATCATTTCGTTCCCGCGAAATAGTATTTCGTTCCCTTGAAATATTATTTCGTTCCCTCGAAACATTATTTCGTTTCCTCGAAATACTATTTCGTTCCCTCGAAATATTACGTTCCCTCGAATTAAAATTTCATTCCCTCGAAATAATATTTCGTATATAATGCGCCAACAGTGCCTTCGGCGTCGGTTGATCGTTCGGCGAAATAGGCATTTGGCTGCGACTGTATCATTCGGTGGCGACTACAGCATATATATACAGTAGAACCCCTTCTTTGGGACGCCCCTATTGAGGGGACACCACTATTAAGGGGACACTCTTCCACGGAACTAGGGAAAATATATCTTTTAACGCTACGGCCAAGCGGACACCCCCATTAAAGGATGCTTTCTGAGTGTGCCAAATAGTCAAATAATTCCTATTAAGGGGACACAGAGCAGTCTCAAAATAAGAAACATGTAGTCAACTTTATATTTTGAAACTTTTTGAGCAATAAACCAAAATTTCATCCCCTAAACCATTAGAGTTAGGCCTAAAAAAGGTGTCTTCTTAATCCTATCATTGGGTACCCCTATTCGGAGGACACTAACCAAAAACGAAAAATTGTCTCCTTAATAAGGGTTTTTGGCAGGTTTTCATACAACGACGACATGCATTCTTTATCACTTTTTATTTTTATTGACATAGAACCAGTTACAGTAGAAGTATGAACAATTTATAGCAATAATTTGCAATGCAAATTTAGTTCATTTATAACACGAAATCAGTAAAATGTAATTAAATGAACATTCTTTCTGTTGGATGGATGTAGCATGAATAGAGTAACGACTTGAATTAAAAAGGGTCAATAATGTGAAAAAAAATCCCCATGGTTATAAGAGTCGAAATTGACAAGATTGGTTTATACGTATTAACACATGAAGTAGGCCTATACCAATATTTACTCTAATGGTTCAGGGGATAAAATTTTGGTTTATTGCTCAAAAAGTTCAAAATATAAAGTTGAATAATTTTTTCTTATTTTTAGACTGCTCTATTGTTGTGATACAACGAAAAAATAAATTTTCCGACACCAACGGAAAAAATCTTTGTGTCAAGGGGCGTAGGTACACCACAATTGGTGTCACTCGATCGGCGTAATAATTTCAACCTATTGCATTTCCTCGTGTGGAATCATAACCGGACCCCTTTTCTCGTTGCGGATTGTAATTACCTCGCTCCGTGCACGGATAACTCCTTGGAAATTCTTTTTCTTGTTGGCCACTTTTTAAGAATTTTTACTATGGAAATTAATTTAGGGACCGATCGTGTGCGACGGTCCATTTGCCTTTTGTCGTAAGAAATCACGACCGAATCACACTATATCTGATCATGTGTTACTTTACTGTGTACAGTGTATTGAGGGTGACGGTCAAGAGTGGGTGGGGCCTTATAGTTAATTCTTAGCTCAGTAGACACAAAAGTAGGTGTCATCTTAATAGGGATTATTTGACTATTTGGCACGCTCAGAAAGAATCCTTTAAATTAATAGAAGTGTCCGAACGATCAACCGACGCCGAAGGCACTGTTGGCGTGCCATATACGAAATATTATTTTGAAGGAACAAAATATTATTTCGAGGGAACGAAATAATATTTGGGGGAACGAAATAATATTTGGAGGGAACGAAATACTATTTCGAGGAAACGAAATGATTTCGCTCTCTCGAAATGAATAAATAATATTTCGTTCCTTCGAAATATTATTTCGTTCCCTCGAAACAATATTTCGTTCGAATTTCCCTCGAAATAGTTTAATATTTTATCTAACCATGTCCCTTTAGGGACTCTGTAAGATTACTCTCTCCCCTCTATAGCAAAAATACATAAATTAAGTGAATACCTTGGGAATCGCATGATCTCTGCTAGACAGATATAATTCACATAAGGTGGCGCCAGCGAAAGGGCATTCGCTCCTGTCGGACAGGCCTAGATCCCCGTTGCCCGATTCCACGACGAGGTTGTTGGACCAAAAATAATAATTTGCCTATCCAAATAACCTTAATTTGATTGCGAACCCCTAATATTGTGGTCGAAATGCACAGTTTTGGTCACAATAAACCAAAAAGCTTCACTACCTGGGATTTTTATTCCGGGACCCTGACCGAGGATCTAGTTAACCCCTTATTTCGGACCCTCTGCCGTCACATTTTCTGAGGCACCAGAGGTCGTGTTAACATAATTTTCTGTAAACACGGGTATTGAAAATAATACTAGTACCTTGTTAATAATGTTGGCTTAGTTTTTTTTAAATTTTTTTTTTAACCTTTATTCAATTACTTATTGTGTCTGAGTTTATTATGTAATATAAAGACGTCTGAGTATCAGCTTAGCTGGAAGGGTCATCCTCTTTAGAGATTGTTGAAATAAATAAATAAATAAATAAATAATCGTAACTACAACCGCTCTACAAAAAAAATTGTACCCAATCAAAAACATAATTTGTATCAGTATATGCCGACTTACCGACTCGTTTTTCAGAAATAATCTCTGCTAAAGTTGCAAGATCAGAAAACGAATTGATCAGGAATACGTGGGATGTATATGGAGTACTTGCAATAGCTCTGAGTTCGTCACGTTTTACCTGAGAGCCTATACCGACTGCAAAGATCTCCACATCCTACAAAAATCACAACAAAATATAATAATAATAATGATGATAATAATAATATATATATATATATATATATAAAAAATAAGGATACTGGCGGTAGCATGACTTAATTATCGTTAAACCTACGTAAATGGTAAGTCTATTATTAAAGACTCAGACATGTTTATTTGATCCAAAATAATAAAAGCAAATACAGAAAATATAACAGTATCACAGTACTGAAAATATTAAAAAGAGATAAATGGATCTGGGAGACCCTTATTATGGCTGCAACAGCCGCTAGCATAAGAGCCACCAATAAGAGATTTGATTATCCCTCTAAACCATTTAAAAAAATAAAAATAATGATTTGTATTTAGGAATGTTTTGTCCCAATTATGTACTTTTATCATTCTGGGGTTCTGATTAATGTTACAATAGGCCTACCTAACGTAATGTAGAATAGGCCTATATCTAAATGAGACTACATCCTGTTCGTAGTAAAATTTAGTTTTATTTTAATTATGAATAAAATATTAAATACATGCAACGGCTTATATATTACCTCCGTCTCTCGAAGTCTTTGTGCGGCAGCGACAGGATTTCCGTCATTGGATTTACCATCTGTCATCATAAACAGTGCCCTCTTGGCATCGATTCTCATTTCAGGTACAACATTCTCAATGATATGCTCAAATGCCTCCTTCATTGCCGTCCCTCCACCGAGTTCTTGCTAATGAGAATGCGACAGGGAAGGATCAAATTCAGTTTATCTTTTGCATGTGTATATTGTATTTTATAATATATTTATATTCCATATAGTATAAAAAAAAAACATTATCATAAGCAAAAACATTTTGGAAATGATGCATAAATGAAATAGGCCTACAATTTAAATTGAATCACATCATATAATGACAAGCAAAAATACTTTGTCCAATTATACACTCAAACAGTTTAATAAATTTTGGTTTTTTGTTTCTTTCTGTCTCATCTAGTCTCATTCTTTCGTGTAATCCTATCCGGTACTCTCTAGTCCCGTCTCCTCTTATTTAATTTTACTTTATATTGTTTCCTTGTTTCATTTTATTCTATTTATTTTTTTATTATTTGTTTTATCATTAATTTATTATTAATTAGAAGGAGTTGAATGTGTACCGTTAAATATGTTGCCTAACCTGATGTACAAATGTACATAGATGGATAGATAGATAGATATCTATTTATCTGAAGATTTTGCTTATTGACAATAGGCATGTGTGTTTTACGTGTCATGGCGAGTTAAATTTGTGCATCAAATAAGTTATATTATAGTAATGCTCTTCTCCAAAAATTATTGATATGTAGCCTGCATGCAGAGATTAATCTTAACTATCCCAACATATAGGCCTATTTATGGATGTTTTGCCTACTTTCAAAGATATTGATGTGTATATCTCAAGATATCGATGTGTGTATCTCAAGATTTCGATGTGTTATCTACCGATCTCTCTGTGGTCACCCACCACTATCCTGATACATAGGCATTATGGGATTGTTAAACAAATAGAGACATTTGTACCGCGCCTTTAAAGGTAATCATACACAAGACATAAACAATAACGGCATATTAATGCACAGTAGTAAAAACAGCAATGAAGGATGATAGGCACAAAGTATAAGTTGCGAGAAAATAATATTCCTCCAGTTTCTCCATAGATTAAATATAATTACCTTGATTTCCTCTAATTTGGCCTTTACTTCATCAGGCTCGTCTGCCTGTTCATCTTTAAAGTTAAATTTGATCCTTGCACCGGAAGCAAAAACTACGGCTGCAATGCGCGTTCCACCTAAATATCGTAAGTATCAATATGCAAAGATCTCAACTATTTTTTCCCTAAAACACGAAACTTAATTATAAACATTAACATAATCACGCTGTCCATGGGATCATAAACAAACTATATGCAAAGTAGGCCTAGTATTTAAATACTGTGGTAAAATCGTTAAAAAGCAATGATAAAAATGATCTAACAAGTTACCCACTTCCAGCGAGAATTTTATTAAAAATCTCTAAATTGATTGATTGATTTTAAAATATATGCAACTGTATATTTATGTGTTTGGTTAAATTGGTAAAGAAAATGCACGGAAAAAATAGGCCCGTTTGACCTGTTACAAAGTCATTCAAATTTTCTTTGACAAAAGAAAAACTGTTATATGCATAGTCTATATATAGTCATGGTGTGCCCATGGTCCTGAAGTGATATCATCATAAACATTAGAGAGCAGCTTAATTCAGTCGGCTAATCTGGTGGTAGCCACTGTGTGCGCTGAACCGTGGAGATCTCTAGGTCCTCGGTTCAATTCCCATCGCTGCCTCTCCTTGTGTTTCAGCTAGAGGGCTGAAATACAAGTTACAATAGTGCACCGTGTTTCGGATGAGACGTTTAAGCCGTTGGTCCCGTATGCATTTATGGCCCATGTGCACGTTAAAGAACACAGTACACTCTTCGGAAAAGAGTAGGGGATTGTCTCCCGGTGTACTGCCAGTCACCACCAGAAGGACCCCACTGGAATTAAGTCTTCTTCTAGACTTTCGTGGGCTATTCTTGGTGTTTACACCGAATAAATCCAATCCAATCCAATGCATGCGACATGTTTTTGTCAAATAAAATTTGATAGTCTGGACAGGGCTTTAGGATGGGCAAACTATAAAAAAAATAGCAAACCTTCTTCATACGAAACGCCAAACTGATCAACAAGTAAATTTGCGAAGTCCACACTATATTGGAAATCAGTTTCATCAATGCTAGAAGATGCGTCAAAAGCAAAGACAATATCTAATCCAAATGCATTTGCTGATAGACGCCCTGCCAAGGCTTCTCCTGCCACACTGGTGTTTGAGTATGAGCCGACTTTATCTATGAAACTGTCTTTGAATTTTAATGCAACATCTGCAAACGTTGGTACAGCTGAAAAAAAAATATGGTAAACGTTTTCTTCATTTATAATGGTAAACCAATGAGTTGTAAACTAAGAGTTTTAGGCACGAAGCTATTGGTACATCACATATTTAAGACAACCAGATTACCTTTGTTACAGATGATATGCGCCCTCACATAGTTTTGACTAAATTATGTCAAGATATTTTAGATAGACAGTTTTTATTCATTTTTAAAACAACATGATAACTATACTAATTTGATAAATAGATTGGTATAAGTCAATCACACGAAGATCTTGCTACACACATCTTAACATCTGAGACCATTCCCTACCTTCTTGTTTTTATCCGATTTTATGTTTCTGGTAGATTAAACGAAAATTATCAATGCCAAAAATGGTTTAAAAATATTGTTGTGTATGTGCAAGATACATTCACATCGCATCCGAAACGAAATTTGGTCGGCGTTTCCGGTGTGCAGAACTTCAGTGTCGCTACACTTAAACACTGCTTCAATTTTCTAATCGGTTCGGTAGACCTTCCGATCCGAAAATTCGGATTCAGTGTGAGTGAGCCTTAGCATGGAATAGGAATAGCTGTAGGCCTAGTATACGTACGTTTACACAGCGGTTCATAGGCTGTCCATTCCCCAGACCTAGCGCATGTGCGTTCAGTTGGGCCGTAAATGATGTAGTCCTCATCGCATCTATATATAATTTTGTTGTCATAGAGTATACTGCTGAAAATAACTACCCCAATTACCAGCTTGTCTCTAATTAGAATCCATCTAAGTAAAGACCGGTACTAAAAGTAGTCTTTAAAATTTCTATTTAGAGGCAAATTAAGAAATGTAACTGTAAGATTTTTTAATTCAAAGTGTGCTAGAATGGCCGTCCAATTACTGTATGGTTATTGACGCCTAATAAATCATTTCTCGGTGGTCTCAAATCAAATCTGCGCTCGTTCTACCCACATATGCCTTTACAATATTAAAACCTTCAGTAGTAGACCTATTCAGTAGCGCACTGGATACACAAAACATCATCTTATATTGTGCATTGTTTTGATGCATATAGTCATATCATCATTTTAAATACATTGAAATTTAAATTTATTCTTAATTTAAAGGGAAAATTTTAAGTTGGGTCTGCCAGAACCACGATGATGTGCATGATGCATTGCATTTGAATGTCTATTCCAAGTTCTTTATTGAATTTCTGTATGTTATTACTGATTCTTAAGCCGGGTACTCACTGCGCACACGACGGTCACTGCCACCGACAATCAGCAGATGACGTTGTGTCGACTATGGATCTTTCTGCTAAGCTCCGCCCCTTTATATTGTTGCTAAGGTCCCACAAGACGGCAGTGTTAAAACATACGCGGACACGTGCGTTTGTGGGACAACACGTGTAGCCTGGTTCTCACGAGAGCCCTAGTATCCGGATCGGGAGCTAACCGTTAACGCTAACCGTTAGCACCTGCGTGAGAACGCCCGATCGGTTAGCGGTATCCGGATACGCTAACGGTTAGCAAGCGCTATCGGTTAGCAAGTTGAGGGCGTTTCTATCATCAACCAATCACAAGTACGCGTTTGCAATTTCCAGTTTCTTATTGGCCAGTGATTCGATCATCATATTGTTGGTATCCGGATCGGGATTTTCTCGCATGGACGCACGGCAGCTAACGGTTTGCAGGATCCTGATCCTGCTAACCGTTAGCTGGCGTGTGAGAACATAGCCTGTGTTTGTAAGACGCGCGCGAATTCCTAGCGCTGTTCTGATTAGTCGGTTGTTAAGTTTGATTGACACTCCGGAAAGGTCTATTGCTCACGGGGAGCCGAGTTGGATTCGTTGTACGACGCCGTGAGTGCCCGGCTTTAATAAACCATTTCTTGGTAGCAAGTCCTGCAGGCGCTCGAACACCCATTAGGCGAGACTGTTTTATGTCTTGTTTTTCCCCCCAACTTCCCGAACAGAAGAGGGCGGAAAATGTTAAAATACATTGTTGTTCATCGTTTACTCACTGCAAGATGTGCGGACGTCATGACTCCAGTTACCACATTTACAAGTCCGTTCCCGAAGTCCCATTAACCTGTAATCTTTGTCGCATTCGTATCTTATGGTTTTTCCATCTAGAGACTTAATAATCGTTCCGTGATCTAAAGTTTCGTCTAATTCTTCACAGGGTGTCAAATCGGCTGAAAATACGGAAAAGATTAAGCCATTTAGAAATGTGTCCTTTTGCCCTTTACTTTAAGAATATTTATTTCTCTTTATTCTGATCAGTTTATTGGTGTGCAAGGGTTTAGCCAGAAACATGAAATAGGCCGTCCATATTGGAAGACAGTGGGCGAGGCATTGAGCCGATGGGCGGGCCACGCCCATCTTTGGGAATCCCCACCGAATATTGGTACGAAAACAACGTACATTCAATCAATAAATGTTGTTTTTATCAAACGTAAATATGATTTATGTTTAGTTTAATGTAATATTTGATAGATTTGAAGAATATTAAGAATTTGCTGAAGGTAGACCAGGCCCAATTAGGCTAGGGCGAACGGCTCGCTGGCTAAGCCTATGTGTCACATAATGATTTGTAAGATAATACATTCAAAGACTTCTTCCGATTCGGTAAATGAAGTACCGGTACACAATATACTAAAATCATGATATCCTAGTATTTCTAATTAGTTTTATTATTTATTAATAATATTAATAATAGTAATAATATTAATAGTAATAATATAAAGAAAAATTGTAATTTTAATTATTATTATTATTATTATTATTATTATTATTATTATTATTATTATTATTATTACTATTATAGGCCTAATAATAATAGGCCTAATATTAATATAATTACTGTAATGACTCTCATAATTTTCACAGCCTACCTTCGCAGTTCTTTCCGTCTCCTATGAAGCATTTTTTACAGGTACACTTGTACGAGCCTGGGATGTTTTCGCACTTTGCATCTTTATGGCAAGCTGGAATAGTTTGGCCAGCAGAGCTGCTGACGGAATCAGAGAATGAGGTTTCGTATTCATCCTCGGTGTCCGTGGGCGGTGAGATGCCTTCTAGACATTCATTTACGTCTATTTGAAAATTTCGATCTCGTTAGTATTATTGCTCATATAAACTTTACAGTATTTGCTTATCATTTTTTTTTCTATTAAAAATAATCAATTATTATTCATTTACAACTGAGATTCCTAATACTAGGCCTACATTACATCATCTATTTTTCTCATATTACAGAACATACCTAATAATCATATTGACACTAAAATGCATTAACACACCAATTTCATTTTCAATATATAAAATGCGTATATAACTTTTACAAGTTATGTAGTCATTCAGATCTGGGGCGTCTGTTCCCGCCTTATATTTGGGGACGGCGGTTTTGCTCAGTGGCTTCCATTCTGGCAGAGGCGTACTAGTGGCTCATCCAAAATTAATCGCGCTCCTTCAGTCGCTGGCACATCCCGCCCCGCCCCCAAAATAATCACGGTCAAGTAGTTCAAAATCACATAAATTCACCTTATTTTAAGAGTTAGTGCTCCTCAACTGTTCATCGACCCCCCCCCCCCCACCCCAACCCAGCCCCCACCCCAACCCATCAGCATTCTCACTTTTAGAATTCTAGATACGCCACTGTATTCTGGATTTTTGTGGTCAGGGGCTCAAGCCACATACTGTCCAATCTCGACCGGCCATGCTTAGATACCCCAACTTACACTGTGGCTACTATTGCAAGCATTTCATTGTGTAAGCATTTCAAGGCATTTAAATAGTTTAGTAACCCCTTATCTAGAAGTGGCTTCCAAACCTTGTTTGAGTGTTCAGTTAAGAAAAAGAGTAGCCAGTAAAAACAAATAAATAAAAAAAATAGCCATCGGCCAACCTCCAAAACTTCAGTTTTTGCGAGAGAAACCACGAAATCAGTGTCACTACTTGTAGGAGCGGTTGGCACACCGGTTGTGGCTTGGACTCTCAACCTTGAGGTCGGGGGTTCGAAACTCTGGCTGTGCAAATCGCTTGTGTCCTTGGGCAAGGCACTTTATCTACAGTTGCCTCTTTCCACCCAGGAGTACAAGTGGGTACCTGGTAGGTTCCAACACAACCTGCGCTGATTACGGTACTAGCTGCAATTTATGGAATGATAATATAATTTCATTTACTAACTTAATTTGGTGTTTCAATGTGTTCCATATGTGTTTGATCCAATTACCGGGATAGTAATGTGAAGCGCTTAGAGGCCTTGCCATGAAGCGCTATATAAGAACGACATATTATTATTATTATTATTATTATTTAAGTAAAGTCGGGCACTCACTGCGTAGAGATGGTCGTCGACCGACACGATTCTTTGTTGAAGAACGCAACGCCACGACGGGCGCGCATCAGATCGTTTTTAATGACGATCCGTTCAGACTGCCACCGACAGTCAGTAACCGACGTTCGCTCACAAGGAGAGAAGTTGGATTCGTCGTACGACCGTCGTGCGACGCAGAGTTAGCGTTAACGTATTCGTGAGGCAAGAGATGAATGAAGAAGTGTTAGAAAAGGAAGCAAAATGTAGGCCTACCTGCATTTTATCAGCCAACCGTCGTTGCTAAACGGGCATTAGTAAGTAGGTCTATGAGTAATTATAATAAGCATAAAATAATAGCCTATAGTGCTTAAATAATGCATAAAAATAATGAAAAACAAAAGCTTCCTCCAATAAATATCATACCTTTGCATTCTGTCTCAAGAGGAGCCCAATTTATCTTCCCGTTTTTGCTTTTGATACATTCACGCACGTCAGAACCAATGACAACGAACCCTTCCTGGCATCTTATTTCCATACTACCGGCACTTTTCAAAGCCTTACTGTCCCGTATTTCTCCCTTACCATTGACAAAATATCCATTTTCTGGCGCATTGCCGGCAAGTTTACAGGCTGAATAAAATCAAATTAATAATACAGAGAGGCCCTATTGAGAGGACACCTTCACACAAAAATAAACCCCTTGATAGGGTGTCACCTGTCTCTTATACACATCTAGATGTGTATAAGAGACAGGTTATGGTGTATTTTCATTAAGTAACTGTGATTGGCTGATGTACTTTTTCCGGTCGTACTTGCCCGGTAAAAAACAAATCATCCAAACGGTCGTTCAAATTTAATAAAAATTGCGTCTGATTATTCTGATGATGTACTTTCTACCGTTGGACAAACTGTTCGTAATGTAACTGCAACATTAGAACAGGGAAACACTGATTATAATCAATCAAAACCGCAACCCGTATAAAGTGTGAAAAACCCCAGTGACCCATGGTAAGGCGTATGTAAGGAGTCAAAGCGTGCAAAGGTCCCGGGTTGGGATTCCAGTTGGGGCGATTTTTCACCTAATCTATATATAGTTCTATAGGCCTGAAGGCCTATATGTTTTTAGAGCCTATGTATTAATTGTCACACAATACTCATACTATCATACTTCAAGACTGTATAATATAACAACATTTTTGAATTACTTATTTTGCAAGAATCATTCGTACTGTAGGCTCATTAAGATGAAGACATCATTTATTTTCAGAGAAAGAAATCTAGGCCTACCTGCGAATGCTTGGTGAAAGAAGGTTAACAGCAAAACTAGGTACAGAAATTGAACTGCCATACTTCAAGTGCATGGATTTTCTTCAAAGTATTCTTTAGAGATGTTACTAAGAAAATATCTATGATAGCATTTAGCATTGAAGTTGAAAACCCCTGTTCGAACAATGGATTTTTCTTCTGGGCTTGCCAGGAAGAACATTTTATCGATTCCAATTATATCCGCTAATCTTAAAAACAAAACACTTCAACCCGGATCTTTCGCTTTTGGAGGAACTTTGATATGTCTTAAAGTAAATTGGGCTTGGTAATTGCTATCCGTAGCTGATTGTTTATCTTTTAATAATTTCCTGTGAAAGGTTGAGAAAATGAATTTTGTCTACTTGAGTTTTAAGGTGTGAAATCTCATCACGTGACCACCAAGCTGTATTGGGCCAAAGATTAAGGTCCGATTTTAACCTTTTCCTTAAAGTATTTTAACATTACATATAAACTTACAGTGTATTCAGGCCCGTACGCAGGATTTTTAATGAGTGGGTGTGAATTTGCAGAAAGTGGACCAAAATGGCTCCGGGGGTGGGGGCGCTAAGGGGAAAATCCTGCTATGATCGAGGGGGATGAACTCAAGGCAGGCGTTTTTTATCATTTAAGGTCGTATTTAAGAGGAAGATGCATGTATTAAACGGTTTTCAGTGGTGGATACAGGGATTTGAAGACTAGGGCCAGTGAGGGACTTTTCCAGAGATGCATGAGATCCACCTCAGCCCCTACCATGGTTGGGAGTGAGGGAGAAAATTTATAATTATGGCACCTCCAAATGGCCGGAAATTGAACTCTCATACAATTTGAATATCAAATTCTTTTTTTTTTTTTTTTTTTATCTTGAAAAATTTAGGACTAGGCTTCTTGAATCCGCTACTGTCAGTTGCGGACGGACTTGATTGATTGTCTATAATACCTCAGCCCAACCATGGTTGCTGCTGAGTTAAGAAAATGTATGATTATGGCACCTCTATATGGCCGGAGATGGCACTCTCAGAACTAAATTTGTATATAAATTTATTTTCATTTTTTAAATAATTTTGACAAATTTAAGGGGAGGAAAGGGCACCACCACCACTGGGAATAGGCAGCACAGCCGCACCACTGGTGAATAATTGACACGCAATCGGCGGGGAAAACACTCAAATTCCTCAAAAAGGGTATACAAATACAGTCAAAAGACGTTGCTTGTAGGACGAATTAGAGGCGGTCCTAGTTTGAAACTGCTCTGGTTAGTCAAGAAGGTTTAGGTGGATGGATTTATAAAATGTGCGAGAGTGACGTGAATTTTATACCCCTTGAAAACGTGGACCTTTGGTAATTGGTAATTTCGCACACCCTCCGCATCTGCATTTGTATTGAGTGGTTTATGTGCGCAGTGTGTAGTACCGGTATTTGAAGAGTTTATTTGCGCTGTGTATTTCAAGATTGTTTGAGGTTTGGCACCGGGTTTTTGTAAAGTCCATTTCAATTATTACTTTTCAAAAACTATTACACAAGTGAATAAACAAACCACTGGTTATAAGTTAGCATACTATAGTGATGGATCTCTATCTTCGTGATTAAACTAAGTTTCATTTTGCAATATAACTTTTCTCAACACAGTAAAATAAATAAAAACAATTTTTTAAATTATACAATATACCTGGAGCGCACAATAAGTAACACCGGCCCCTTTTTTCTTTATTAGATTATTCAAAGCAATAATTTTTTTCTATGTAGTTTCTGCAAAGAATTGCACTGCCTTCCATGTTGTGTTTGTAGAAAAAACTGAAAATGGAATATTCCGAGTAGAGTTCGAGGGGCGTGGTCAATGTCGAACGTTTCACCAGAGCTGTCAATCAGAGATTCGACGCGTTTGCTATCTTTGTCATTGAAGTTTGAATTTCAAGATATTATTTTGATTGAAGTGTATCAAGATTCATAAACAGGAGAGTGAAAATGACTAGGCTGGCTGTGCTTACCATTGCTTTCCTTGCAACTATTAAATCTGGTAAGTAAAAAACAGGTAGTATGCTTTGCATTTATGTCAAAAACATGTAGTAGGCCTATGCTTTGCATGTATGTCAGTGGCGGATTTTTGGGGTGAGGGTGAATGTGACTAGCCATCTACCCTCACTCTCAAAAAACAATCCCAAATTGTAGAGCTTTAAAGTTCGGGCTAGGCTTGGCTTTCTTTGAAGCCAGCCAGGCATTGGTAACAACATGATGCAGTCTACATTTTTTTTATTGTCGACATTCCGTTTTCTTACATTTAAAAAGTCAGAGAGAATAATTCTTGACAATAAAAGGGAATGGCACCCACAGATAACAAAGTACGGGACTTCGTTAAAAGAAAACTAAAGTGGGAATCATTATAGTATATATATTATTTCATTTTGTCAGAAATCATTATTATACAATTTATTGTATTAATACATATGCAATCCATTTATATATTATTTATTATTCAGATCGAACAGTTACCAATTACATTTTTAAAATTTGGTTTTAAAGTCCCGTTATATAATACCATCAGCGTACATTCAATTTTTAGTTTTCATAATACTGTAGATTTAATGTCAAACGGGTATTTCGATAGCTCCTGCTATCTTTATCAACGTTAAAGTGAGATAACAGGAGCTATCGAATTATCCGTTTGATTTTGTTATAGCTTAATAAATTTGTGTTCCGCAAGTCAACTTTCAATGATTGTACACCATGTTTTCATTGCTTTTGCACTTTATTTCCTGTCTCTTATACACATCTAGATGTGTATAAGAGACAGTATATTTCATCATCAGATGTGTATAAGAGACAGGTGTTTATTATATGTTTTAAGAGAGATGTGTTTAAATGATGGTAGTGTTATTCAATTGTTAGTATGTCTAGGTCTAGCCAACGAATCGTGCCCTTTCGATGAACAGGCGGTAGACGACACTGGCCGACGTTGCACCAGAGAGGCAGCGTGCACTGGTGAAAGCGATAAAGCAGATTGCAAAGGCAAGCGCCGGTGTAGATGTGACGATATATGCGGATTCATATGTATTAAAGTATGTAAGTATAGGATGCCTAATTAAGCACAATTTGCTTTTTGACGATGCTCATTGATTCCTTTGATTAGTTTTGCGATGTGGAGTTATTTGACTTCCTCTTTGCAGAGTAGGATTTGAAATAGAAGCCCGGATATGGGTAGGCGGGGTGACAGATGAATGGTCTGCTGGGGTTGAGTTGAAATAAAATGTTATGGCTATGACACATCTAGTCCGGAAATAACACTATTAAACTTCTTTTTCCCCTTTGTTTAATTTTCAAAAATGTTGTTACGGGATGGTGTGGCTGCCTTAAATCTGCTCCAGGCCTTGTCACATTTGTGTAAACAATAGAATTAATGTTAGTGTAAGAATAAGAGCACTTGGCATTTTAACCACGTCTGAAGAAAACTTTTTTTTGTCTCTGTTCTGCCTCCACCCTGCATGTGCCTAATTGAGCCATGACCTGGGTTTTGGTTGGTTTTTTTTTGTGACATTCTCTTATAGTGTTTTCTTTAATAAAGAATGATTTTATATAGTACTGTTCAGTGTAATACCTTACTTCCACACATCCGATGTTACTCTATGTTTATATAAGGTTATCCGTTCTGGATGGTACAAAACATAGGCCTAATAGTGCCGACCATAGGCCAACTTCCGACTATTACTTTTATATACTAATTGTGCGTAATAACGTTCGGATTATTTAAGTACGGACTTTCTTTCATATAGCTGATCAATTGCCTGTGTAATTCGTTTCTAATATCGTCCAAATTTAATAAATTTATTTACAGTTCAGGATAATTATTGCAATGAAGACGACTTACCACCATCAACAATAGGGTTGACGTACGAGCTGAGTAGAGATCCTATTCGGTTTGGTACAACGGCGACATATAGTTGTGGTATCGGATATGAAATGTCTAATTCATCCCTGAACGTTCGCATTTGTCGAGGTGATGGGAGGTGGAGTGGCCAGACACCAACATGTTTAACGAGCAGTAAGTCTGTTATAGAAATTATGATAATAATAATAATAATAATAATAATAATAATAATAATAATAATAATAATAATAATAACAACATCAACAATAGTAAGAACAATAATAATAATCTATAATAATAATAATAATATAGGGCCTATAATAATAATTGTGATTAAATTATTATTATTATTATTATTATTATTATTATTATTAAGAAAGGCATCGTCTAATTTACTTTTATTTTGTATTTATTGATAAAATGTACAATAAAATTATTTTGAAATGTGGATCTAGATTATGCATGTCATAGTTCTGAATATTTGTAGCCTGTGCGCGTAATAACGCTATGCCGCCTCAAATCCAATCACAGAATTCATATCAGGATTGTAACATTTCAGTAACCGTAAAAGGATGGTGCGAACCTGACGTTGTCATGAGATAAGTTATCCGTTCGTTACCAATTTAGATTTGAATCTTTGATATAGCATACAAATTATTATATTTATATTCATGGTATGCAACTGTTTTTAAATTTGTTTTCTATACATAGTTGCCTGCACAGCGCCTGCAAAAGTGCAACGAGCAATGCATAATGGCCGAGATGAAAATGGAAACGATAGACAATTGTATGCAGTTGGTGAAAAATTAAAATACTCCTGCAATGCTGGTTATTACCCAATTGGTAGTGGTTTTATCTACTGCCAGAAGACTGAATCCGATAACGCGGCATGGAGTGATCTTGATCCAAACTTTGAGTGCAGACGTAAGAACATGACCAATATCATTAGCATAATTATAAATTCATCCTCCTCGTCCTCCTTCTCTTCATCATCTATATCATCATGATTATCAACATCATCATCATCATTTTCATCTTTATCGTTATCATTATTGTTCGTTCGCGACGACGCTCAACTTTTTTTCAAATTCTTCTAGCTACAAGCCCATTGATTATTATATATAATATTAATATCATTATTGCTGTCAGTAGTGGCGGCGCCAGCAGGGATGGACTATGGGGAACAATTACCCCAGATAATTTCTATCCCCCTCCCCCCCCCCCCCCCCCCCCCCCCCCCCCCCCGCCAAAAAAAGAAGAAAAACCACAATTCGTCGGTAAGAAAAAATGATGTTTATTCTACATATTTGTAGACTATCTACCCATAATAGGCCTATCGATTAAATAAGCCTTTGAAACCTCTTAATTGTCATATTTTTTGGACCACTTTCAAGAAATTTTGAGCGACGCCCGAACACGCCCACTTCGGGCCATTCCAACATATTGCCCACCACTCCTCTAAAATTTTACCTTGCCCTATCATTCCCAGATTTATTGATAATAATAATATTGTTATTGTATTATTTCAATTGCCATTATTAATATTATTTATTTATATATCTTATTTAAATTATTATTCTAACTATTATATTATTGCATTGCTGTTTCTATATTTATCATTAACATCGGTCATTAATTACATAGTAATATACAAATAGGCATATATATATATATTATATATATATACACATTGTATCATTTTTATTAATAGCTAAAAGCTGTGGATCACCAGGAACAATAAGCAATGGGTATCGAGTTGGCAATGTTTTCTCTTTTTCGAAAGAAGTTACATTTCACTGTAACGAAGGCTATAGAATTCAGGGAAGAAGTTATCGTGTGTGTCAAGCAGATGGAGAATGGAGTGGATTTACTCCTGTCTGTATACGTAAGTTTTTTCCTTTAAAATTTTCAAGGTCATCAGGTCATCGTGTCGTCATCAAGGTTCTGCCTGGTTTCCATAAAATAAATTGATTTTGCTTTCTTTAACACAAACAATTTCTTTATTTTATTTTTACTTACTTATTTGTTTTTTATTTATTTATCTATTTATTTATCTATTTTATTTTATTTTATACTTTTATTTATGTTCCACAGTATTTTAATAGGCCTTATTGTTAGGTCTTTCGTTTTTGTTCAATCGTTGTTTAGTTTTCGTAGATACTTTTGTTAAGCCTTGTCTAAATTGATTATATTTCTTTAATAAGAGCATTTTTTTTCTCTTAGATTGACTGCACCACTTAATTATGTGTTGCCACTATTATAAATGTGAAATGTCGAATAAATTATTATTATTATTATTATTATTATTATCATTATTATTATTAATATTTTTATTATTATTACTATTATTATTATTATTATTATTAAAATCGCTACACTATCACTACAGTGCAATCGTTATGCTTGTTACAATTGGGAAGCCTCTTCAATTCAACCGACCAGTCAGCATTGCCAAAGGCTGTCGGCGATATCCAGTAGTAGCGATTTCATGAAAACCAAACTTAAAACAATATAAAAGATGCAAAATAAAAGAAATATCTCTTTTCTATTAGCCTGGTTCCATCTTTATCGTTTAGACAGCCATGATGTCCTATAGGCCCTATATGTTCTTTTCTACAACCTCCTTAATCCTGTCATGTATTCCTGTAATACCCGGTCGATTTCTTTAGATTTCCTCACATTTTCTGTTTAACCATTGTTCGTTTTTTCTCTACACATTCGTCTTATCCTCTTTTGAATTTCCATGTATTTTAATTATTGTTATTATTGTTATGTTATTATTATTATTATTATTATATTATTATATCATCATTATGGTAGAGTATGTATTGATATTATTATTTCTTATTCTCATTATTATTTACATTTGGAATGTCTGGTAATAATATTTTGTCAATCATAAATGCTTGTTAAATCGTTGTTTTAATACAGGGGTGTTTTATTTATCTATTTTTTTTTATTAATAGCTGTATTATGCCCATCTTTGACGGATCCAGAAAATGGAGAAGTCTTCGGTATGGATTACACATTTGGGGAAAGAGTAAAACTAGATTGTGATGTCGGGTTTGTTGTCCCAGCAACCGATGGCTTAAGGTCAGTTTATACCTACTGCCAAGCAAATGGACAATGGGATAAGTCAGTACAATGTGAAGGTAAACAAACAGTTTCAGGGACAAACGGGATGACCCTCCTATAACAAAACCGTATAAGGAACCCTCAACTGAAAACAAGCATTGAACTTTAAATAATGTAAAAATTAACTTGATATCTAAATCAGTACAAAATTCTTTGGTTAACAAAACAATTTCATGCTGAATGGGCCAATATACGGTAACTTAAAATAGCGAATGTTGGGTTTACGGTCATTTAGGAATTTAGTTTTATCTATTTCAAGCATAATTTCTGATAAATTCAGCCAACTTGATGACGATTCGACCATCTTACGGGAAGGCAAACTACAGCGTATTCTCAGATCGTTAAAACAAAACTTGTGATAAGGGCATCTATGATAGCATTTACTCAACCGATTAAACAACCAGCCAGAATATGTGGCAAAAATGTTAAATTCACCATGGAGAAGGAAGTGGAGGACAAGCCTAATTTTCACAGTTTTTTTTGTAATTCTTTTAAGATATCCCTTGTCCGCACCTTGTTTAATATAACATACAAAATCAACAGTATTCGGTCTGGATTGCATATAGACATTAGATCTTTGATTGTCGTTTTAAGGAATGTACGTATCCATCTAATTCAGTTCACAAAATTATTTCAAAATATCTAGTTTCTGTATTTTCCCGTGAACGAAGTAAATCAGATAATGATCCTAAACCCAACATTCGCTATTTTAAGATACCGTATATGCCTATTGGACCAATCACTAAGGTCGTTAATTTTAAAATTGCCTCGTTAACCAAAGAATTTTATACTGATTTAGATAGCAAGTTAATTTTTATATCATTTAAAATTCAGTGCTTGTTTCAGTTAAGGACCTCCGTTGATTTTCGTTCGGGGGAAATACTGCATTTACTTTCGGAAGCTGTAACGCTTCCTATATCGGCGAAACTGGTCGCCATTTCAAAACACACCTTAACGAACATTTTAAAACGGACAATAATGACACGTAAATTTAACTCTTTCGGTCTGACTCATTTGCTTATCTTTACTCATACATTTCTTCTCCTGTATGATTAAACTCCTTTAACTTGAATGCTCCACCTCCCATTTGTTCTCATGTCATATTGATCTTATTCATGCCTTTTCATACGCTTCAGTTCGCTTATTTATTATGAAATTTCAACGCATTTGTTCACTCCTTTAAATACCGTAGGCCTACTAAAATGTGCGTGCATATTGTTACATTAAAGATGGCAGTTGCACTGCTGAAACATGTTTGGTTCAACATTTTATTTTTTATAATAAAACTGTTAGGCCTATCCTAGATGGTTTTATTGAAATTTGGTATACACCTACTAGATTATGTGAATTTGTTTTCGTTGTTTATGTTTTAGCTGTCAATTGCGGTGATCCAGGTGAACCTCGGAATGGTAACCGTAACGGTGATAACTTTGGGTATAACGGGTATATTTTGTTTTCTTGCGATGCTGATTATCAGTTGGTTGGTGAAAAATCGATTTATTGTCAAGAAAACAACAAATGGTCTGCTGAACGTCCATCATGTTTCGGTAAGCTAATTGAAATTAATTCATTTTAAATCTCCATATTCATAATTTTGGTCTTCTTGTGTTTTTCGTTGTATTCATAAGTGTTATAGGCCCAAATATTATTAAGAGTCGATGTGCCCTTTTCGTGATCATTCGAAGACGGGAAGCAACTACATGTTTTATTTTTCTGACCAAGCCTACGGCTGCATCAACCTTCAATGTTTCTCCTCTCCAACGATATATTATCACTCTCTTATTAATTATCAATGTATAGCAATATTTTAAAAGTGAATTATTGTCTACACTTAATACGTTTTCATTAATATTTTCAAACTGGGTTTATAGTAATGAGTATATTAAAAACTTAACATCTCAAGCGTTTACTTAATTTCAGCTGAATGTGTATTACCCGAAGTTCCCATGCACTTAGAAGTTCCACCTGAATACAATCCAGGGGAACGTGTCATTTTCGGCACCAGATACGATATTAGTTGTGAAAAAGGCTACACTTTGAATTCTGACAATGGCATATGGGAATGCATTGGAGGCGAAATGTCATTTGATCCTGTTTGTAATGAAAGTGAGTGTGCCCAAATAAAACATATTATCATTTTTCACAGGTTACGTGGAAATAAATAATAATTACATAACTAATAACCCTTGAAATAAATACCATTATATGTTTTTAACAGACTTTCACAACATGGTGTATGATTAATTGCAATGCAGGTCATTAACATAACGTTCAAGATATAGGCATACTGCTTGCCAAAAAAGATAGAAAATTTATTTTGGATGAAGGTGATAAATTAATTACTGTATATTGCTTGTCTTGGATTCAATTTTTAAAAGTTTATTGAAACTTATTAAAATTATAGATAACGTCACTCAGGATGAGATTCTCGATATATGATCGTTCTTAAATGAAGCTTTTAAGCCTGGTTCCCATAAAAACGCTACACGACATCGCCGATTCCTTTACCGACACTGATTGGTCAGTTAAATCAAAGAGCGTTCCCGATTGCGTCGGGAAAGCTACTCAGTGAAAGGATAGCAGTGACACTGTTGTAGCGGTATAGAAACCAAGGTTTATAGGGTCGATGTAAAGTGGTTGAATTCAAAGCAAGCGTGTTTTATACCAGTTTCATTGATAAAGTACTATGGTAGGCCCTATATAAAATATTGTTCCCAGGTTACGTGCATTATGAGAAGATTTATATGCATGTATTTATAAATTTTGTTTAGATTCATGTCCTCCGCCAGCTAATATCAAAGATGGATATATAACCTATTCATCAAAATCGGTATCTGGATTGTATATACCATTTACAATTGCAACATATAACTGCAATGATGGTTTCAAGCTAAGTAGAAGTGGAAAAAGTTCTCGCAGATGCAGAGAGGGAAAATTCAAGGCATCAGCTCCAACATGCACAGAAAGTAAGTTAAAATTCACCATTTGCATTTGAATTAATTGGTGATTAAGAAATATAACAAACTATTATTCTATCTAACATTGGGCGAGTCAATTGGCCGAGTTGAAGGCACGAGTCCCGCTAATTAAAAACTACAGTCTTCACATCGGCAATGGTTCGAGCAAATCGGCGTGTGCGCACCTCAAAGAACACATTGTGTCTTTCAGAAGAGCAGGGGGTGGGGGTACCCCGATGGTATGGTTCATTTTACTCCCTGTCGTTGTGGAGTAATGTGAACATGAATATCAAGCGCCTCCGGCTGCTGTAGTCACGGACCACGCCCATACGCAATTCAACACAATTACGCTGCAAGTTATGGGTTTTACTTTTACTTTTACCTGTATGTTTTTCTTCTGTAAATAATTGTGGTGGGAATGATAACAAAAAGTAATGGAAAGCACAAATTATTACAAAAGCCATAAAAAAAAGTCATAACCAAGGTAAATATAATTTACTGGGAACCGTAATTTAATTATTCTTAAGAGCACTTGCCAAGTCAGGTTTCCCATTTTTAAGTAAAAAATAGTTAACCATGGTCAATGTTGATGCGTGTGACCCTCCGTGTCACAAACATCTTTGGAAAAATGAGCTTGTAATTTGGTTTATATTTAATTGATGGGTATTATAAGTTGAAATTTGACAATTCAAGGGCGTAGGCTGGGACTACGCCCCCCCCCCCAAAAAAAAAGGGGAACATGTTCCGCTGGTGTAGGCCTAAGCCTACAATGGAAAAGAAGAATTCCTTCAAGTAGAATTCGATTAGGCCAACAAAAGTACACATATAAACCTATGATATGTCTAGTCGTAAAGCAAAATAAAAACTCATTTTTTATCCGAAATGTGAATAAACAGTACAATAATTCGAACTTATTGTTTACGTGCCGGCGCTAATGTGTCCTCGTACTCGTACGGCCGTTGTTTCTTTCCACTAGGCGAATTCGACCAAAATGCGATTATTTTTTTTTATTACACGTTCAATAATTAACTACGAAATTCTTCACTGCGCATGCTTATGGCTAAGAGCAAAAATTTATGATTCGCACTATTGGAGGGGGACTGCATAAAACTTTTTGTGCCAGTGGATTGCAACATTAAAATGGACTCTGGTATCTACACAGGAGCAAAATGTGCAATAAACACTAGAAACGTTATCTTATTATTAATCTTAAACTGACGAAAAACTTGGTTAATGATAATAAAAAAATCGATTAATGAATATTAAAAACTTGGGGAAAATATGGAAAAAGGGGTAGATCGTAGGAGTTATCAAATTTCATAGACGTTTGCCTCGAAATCTGTCCGAGCAAAAACAAAAATATCCTTAAACAGCATGCTTCCGTACAGAACATAGCATACAGTACTGGGGGAATGTATAGTCGAAGCAATAGCCTAATGTGAATTAATGGGTTTTAAATGTTATCATGATTTTAAAAATACATAAAATGATGCCTATATTATTATTTTTTAACTTAAATTAATGTGTAATCTTTTCAATAATAATAATAATAATAATAATTCGAAAAATGTTTTTTGTTCCTTTTTGATTGAACGTTTCAAATTTTATTTAATATGTTGTTTTATATAATAATGATAAAAATGAAACAATGTGTTACAAGAAATTTACAGATAAGTATTATATAAATTACAATATATTACGCTTATTTTGTCAAATCACGATACAAAATTAAGAACCCGATTGTGCAAAAACAGGCATTAAATACATCATCAAAACGCTACAAACACCGGAGCGGCTGGGGTTTCGCCCACCACACCCCCACTAGGGCCCTTTGCGGTCTCTGGTCCCACCGCATGGCTCCAGGCCTTCGGCCCTTTGTTACGCCACTGATCCTTTGTAGCCCTGCATTAACATTTTCGCACCCCCTCCCCCAGGTGGGAACCACCCTACGTCCCTAGCTAAACTTTAGAAGACTTATTTCCAGTTTGTGTGTGAATAATACACACGTTTTCTATTTTTCTATGTTATTCATAGCAATCTGTACCATCCCAACTGTCCACCACAGCAACAATGATGCAAGTAATGTTATCTTGAAACATGGTCAATCGGTGACTTACACATGTAATGACGGTTACTACTCTGAAGATGTCTTACAACTGACATGTGAGAATGAGCGCTTTACTCATGATCCTCCTGTATGCCGAGAATGTGAGTGTATTCGCTTCCTGAAGATGTTAAATGTTCAATTGTTTTTGCCCTTTTTTGTTTTTATGTTCTTACGGTATACAAAATACAAAGGGAAAGTTTGAATATAGCAATATATAAAAATGAAATCAATAAAATACAATAATATAGATATATTATATTACATTATAAATCATACAGTTTGCATATATGGATTATATATAAACTATATTTATAATGTCTTAACCTTTGTATTTTGCAATAGGTCCAATATCCCTTTGCAATTTTTCTTATGATTCATTACCTTGAATGTTTTAGAAAATCGCACGTCAATTGGAAACAGTTTTGTTTGCCCTCTATTTGCAATTTTCCTGTACAACACTAATATTTATACCAATTTTGGCATTTCAATAAATATATTTCAAATTAATACTGAAAGTTACAATATGACTTCATAAAATACTATCGAAGCCAAATCTTTTTTGATAAATATTTGTTTACATATAAGCACCATGTCCTGGAATTTCATCGGACCATTTACAAGTAGAGTACGACAATCCAGCCACTACTACAGTAAACGGTTTACATGTATATGAAGCAGGCACCATAGCAACGATCCTATGTGATTCAAGCAATATTTACTACCCTAGTGAGCCAGAGGCAACATGCCAGTTAGGTCAATTTAAGCCACAAGTTACCTGTAAAAAATACGGTAGGTAAGAAAGAGGATTAGTTTGATTTCATTAGGAAAAAAACAATATCAATGAGCCCTACTGTATATTGTTTTAAATTAATAATACAAATTATTGTTAGGCCTGGACAGTTATTATCATTTGATTATTGTTGTCGCCATCATCACCTTCACTATTTGTCATTAATTGTCACTGTCTCTGCCACTATCGCTATTGCTATTGTTATCGTTATTATGATAAATGGTGGTAGAGTGGTATTTTGGTATTAGTAGTATCGGTAGTAGTATTACTTGTAAGAAGGATCTGTATACATTATGCATCATTCTAACATTATTAATATGTAATCTTACTAATTTGTTAAACTGTAAACCTTTAGCAACCTGTCTTAGTGAGGAAGTCACACATGCCACGGTATCATATAAGGATGAAACAGTCAATAATTACATTCCTGAAGATGGACATGTCCGCCAAGGAGTAACAAGAGCTGTGCAATGTACCAACCCATATAAAATCAAGGGAAAATCTAAAAGTGTGTGTACAAATAGTGGACAATGGTCAGAAAATATACCATCATGTGAAAAGCGTAAGTACCTAGCAAATGAAATAAAATTATTATAATTGTCATAATGATAAGTTGATTTATTGCCCTCCTCTGTATAATTAATCTTTCAGGTATTATAATTATCAACATCACCATCATTATTACCAACATTACTCAAACTAATATTTTTATTGCATATATATTTATTACTAATCATACTGTAATATAT